ACAGCAACAGCAACAGCAACAGCAACAGCAACAGCAACAGCAACAGCAACAGCAACAGCAACAGCAACAGCAACAGCAACAGCAACAGCAACAACAACAACAACAACAAACAACAACAACAACAACAACAACAACAACAATAACAACAACAACAACAACATTTATTTGTGTCTATAAGCATTTTACAGTTTTTTATCACACTCAACAGGAAGATGATTGCAAGACACTGGTTGTTTAATTAAATAACCATAATGTGCTAACTTGATAAGCACAGTAAATAATAAAGCAAAATAAACAAAGAGATTGGCGTTAGGATTGTCATTAGTGCGGGTTAGACCATGGGTCCATATATTCATGACAAACTGCCGAAAGTAGAAGAAGGAACGTGCCAGTGAAGAGTTGACAGCAAAAAAGTTAGAAGGTGTATAGAAGAGATTATTATTCTCGAAGCACAAACGGAAGTTTATTGTTAAGAAATTACGGCACTGAAAGAGAAGAAAAATCTTCCTAAAAGAAACAGCATTTTCAATTTAACGCCGATCTGGAAAGACGGTCTTCTGCATTCTAATACGAGGCTTCGATACTCAGAGGATTTGGGCCAACAGATAAAATATTCGATCAATTTATCCAAGAGACATCCAGTGACAAACTCATCTTGAAGTGTCACCACCTAAGCGAAAGTCATCGAATGGGCGTAAACGTCACGCTGAATCATCTTCGAGAGAGATACCATATCGTTCATTGCCGAAAGATGGTAAAGAGAACGGCAAGGGAATGCACAATGTGCAAATAGCGTTTTACCGGCAATGCAGGCGTGCAACAAATGGGACCATTGCGCAATATCAAACTAGAGTTGACGATGAAACCATTTACAAACTGTGCAGTTAATTTCGCAGGGCCCTATCTCACAAAGTAAGGACGAGGGACGACGCGAACGAAGCGGTATTTGTGTCCATTTCTTTGCTTGCTGACAAATGTTGCTACTTAGAAATGGCATGGTCGTTCACCAGAATGGCAGCGAGACGCGGTTGGCCTCGAACTATGCTTTGTAGGACGACACAACGAGATTTGTAAATTTGTTGCTGAGATCGGCTAACAGACGATTAAAGCGCAGACGTCCAATAAGAGGATAGAGTGGCGTTGGAATCCACCATAATCACCGCATTTTGGAGGCGTTTTCGAACGGATGATTCAATAAGCCAAGAAAGAGAGATACGAGGAATTTTAGACGCAGACGAAAGTGACGAAGAACTAGAGACAGTCAATGTTGGAGTGGACAGTATGATGAATTTGCGACCTTTGACTCATTTTAGAGGAGATCCAAACGACGTACCAGTGCTAACAACACACCACTTCTTAATCGGTCAACCAGGAGATGATGTTGCACCAGAGAGTGTCAACTACACACCGTTTAACACCAAGAAACATTGGAGGCGCGTGCTGGAGCTTATTCACAAAACCTGGAGACGTAGGATGCCAGAGTACCTTACAAGTCTTGGGTCCCGGTCAAAGTGGTTTGAAAAGCAAGATAATGTCTAGAAAGGAGATATGGTATTAGTTATCGATGCAGAAACACCGAGACGACATTGGAAATTGGGGAAGATTGAGGCAGTTTATCCTGGAAAAGTACGGCAATGTTCGTGTAGTGGATGTGAGAGAAAATAATAAGATCTACAGACGGTCGATTGGACGCGTATCTCCCCTGGAATTCTGAAATCATTAGAAGGCGGATCCCAAGAAATTCGGGAAGAGGAGAAGTCGTAGCCAAAGAAACGGATGACAAACTAGCGCCATTTTGGCGACATAAAGTATTTTAATTGGTCAGAAAATAAACGGAAAACACATGCCCGTGTTATATTTTGTTATTTATTGTTTTTATTAATTAAATATTTGTTTTAAACAACTATCAAATAAGTGAATTTTTAGTGAACCAGCACTTAAATGTAGGTCTCGAATGCAGGTAAAATTATGGTTATATAGAACGCAAAATTTCAGGTTTGAAGAACCTTGCTTAAGTTAGGTTATTAATTTTATAACTCCAGCATGCAGTCATGCATATGTACCAAAAAGGAATATATATATATATATATATATATATATATATATATATATATATATATATATATATATATATATATATATATATATATATATATATATATTGAGTGGTTTGTATTCTTCTTCAGACATTAAAATTTTAATAAAAAGTTAAAAATATTAGAACCGTCCAAACGTTTCTCCGATTAAGGCTTCTTCAGTGGACTAATTGTTCGAGTAATATTAGGTTCCTTATATACCTAATCACTGACAATTGTTAAAATTAATTATGACTATGAATATTCAAATCTAAAACAATAAAAAACATGGTTCTATACACATGCTTATTTACCTATTGTTATATGCGAACGTTATACATTAATTACTCTCCCAATACAACCATTCATTATCTCCCCTGAATGTTTTTGAATTTCAATGGCCTCAATACATTTACGTTCATCATTGTATCTAATGTTCTTGTGAATGATTCTCCAAGTAATGTCTTCCTGATTTGGTTTGTCCTTTTTACTCTTGTGACTCATTATATGTTTAAACACTGTTTGTTTATCCATTGATAAATGTTCTTTTATACGCGAGCCAATGGTCCTCCCGGTTTCTCCAATATACAAATTTCCGCAATGTGAACAATGAATTTTCTATACCACATTCTTCTTCAACCATTGATTAGATTTCTTAGCACTTTTACAGGTCTCGCATTTGTTGGGACAATTCATTTGTCCTTTGGGAGATGAAAACACTTGAGATAATGGTTTAGCATTCACAAAACAAGCTTTTACGTTGTCAATCCCCGAGTGTCGCATAACAGATGTTGCTCGTCTTTTATAATCTTCATTTATGTATGGTAATTTTACGTAGATGAGCTTATCTGAGTCGAGTTCAGTTTGTTTGCGTTGTCTGTTATTCTTGGTATTCTTTATAACGCTATCAACAAACTTTTTAGGATATCCATTAGCAAACAAAATTTCCTTCACTTTACTAAGAGATTCTTTAACACTCCGAGAATC